CTAATCATGCTAGCAACATGCTTGTCACTTGCTAATCATGCTAACAACATGCTAGTAGCATACTAATCATGCTAGAAACATGCTAGCAACATGTTAGTAGCATGCAATCATGCTAACAACATGCTAGTAACTTGCTAATCATGCTAGCCATATGCTAGTAACTTGCTAATAATGCTAACAACATGCTAGTCACTTGTTAGTCATGCTAGCAACATGCTAATCTTGTTAGCATGTTAGTAACATGATAATCATGCTAGAAACATGCTAGTAACTTGCTAATCATGCCAGCAATATGCTAGTAACAGGCCAATCATGCTAAAAACATGCTGATCATGCTAGAAACATGATACTGACATCTATCTAATCTATCTAAATTTTCAAACTGCAGGCTTTTACAACTGCTTTAAACTTTCAAGCTAGGCTTTCTCACTCCAACCTAAAATTTGTCTTGACAAACTTTTTTTATCTAGTTATGATGTACTGTTGTGCACTGCCTCCTCTATGATGTCATAGTAGTATCTCAGTGTGAACATGGAAAAACAAGCCTGTCTGTTTGCTGACTTTGTTGTGTAAAATTCAATCCCTCCGCAGAATATAATTCCCATTAGACACCAAATAGTTAAAATACAGATCGCCCCTGGCGGTAGATCAACCAGTTCCAAAATATGACCGGTCTTTTAAAAACTGCTTGTAAATCTCTTATTATGCTATATTGTGACCAAATATTCGATTCAATCTTTTTGAAAAATGCAAGTGCTAGTTAACGTTAGTTTTTTTTTTACATTAGACTAAATTGTACTGACTTTGCTAACACGTACAACAGCTTCTGGCCAAAGAAAAAAGATAATTTTTGTACTTGTTTGGGATGCACATGGCTGTTAGAATTGACGACTCAATTTTTTTCAGAGAAAAATATGCAATTTGGTGCAGATGCTGATATTTATATGGACAAAAACCGATGCTTATAAATGTAAATCAATGAGATCTTTATAGCAGTAGCAGATATCAGTCGTCACTCTATATCTCCAACAATATGTCTTAAGATGAGATTTAAATGATCCAAACATATAATGCAATGCAATCCAATGATGATTGAGAGATAAGCATGAAATCAAACATGAGATCAAAGCACTTTTCACCATCAGGATCCTAATTAAACTGCTGTTGCCATTTTATAAACTTTGATTTTTACTCAAGCTTTTTGAAAAACCTCAATAAATGAACGGACATGGACTCCAGACCCCTAAAACAACTTCCAAAACAACAAAAGAGGAAGAAGAACTGCAGCATGGAACATTTCTGGACCACTGAAGAATTTGTGACACGCCCCAGACGTGTTGAAGATCTGCAGCGACATGCTGCATCTGCTGCATCCTCCCTTCAGGAGGAAACCAAGCCAAATGAGTCACTCATACTCTGATATATTTTACTCTAGCTTGAGAAAGCCAACCTACTGATCTGCTACTTAAGCTTTTTATTCTTCTTCTTCTTAGACTAAATTTCTAAACGCTACTCCTCCTAGAGCTTTCAAGCTAGAACCACCAAACTCAGCCCAGCTCTTCAGACTGATCTGACTTAGTGTGCTTTATCTTTTCCAACTGATCCGAATTATGGTTTTCATAAAAATGAAGATTAAAAATCATAAAAATCCCATAGACTTACATTGACGGAATGTTCAGATGAGCCAAGACTATTCAAACTCCAAATGTCAAAATTTAAACTTAAACTCCCAGAATCCCTTGAGACTCAATCAAGCTTCCCTTCTATGTACTATTTCTAACCCATTCAAACTCTATCGGTCTATGCGACATGCTAATCATGCTAGCGACATGCTAGTAACTTGCTAATCATGTTAGCAACATGCTAGTAGCATGCTAATCATGCTAGCATCATGCTAACGATGCTATAAAAATGCTAACGACATGCTAGTCACTTGCTAATCATGCTAGTAACTGGCTAATCATGCTAGCAACATGCTTGTCACTTGCTAATCATGCTAACAACATGCTAGTAGCATACTAATCATGCTAGAAACATGCTAGCAACATGTTAGTAGCATGCAATCATGCTAACAACATGCTAGTAACTTGCTAATCATGCTAGCCATATGCTAGTAACTTGCTAATAATGCTAACAACATGCTAGTCACTTGTTAGTCATGCTAGCAACATGCTAATCTTGTTAGCATGTTAGTAACATGATAATCATGCTAGAAACATGCTAGTAACTTGCTAATCATGCCAGCAATATGCTAGTAACAGGCTAATCATGCTAAAAACATGCTAATCATGCTAGAAACATGTTATCAACATATATCTTATCTAAATTTTCACTGCTTTAAATTGCTTTTATTAACTGCTTTAAACTTTCAGGCTAGGCTTTCTCAAGCCAACCTAAATTTGTCTTGACAAACTTTTTTTTGATCTAGCTATTATTTTTAAGAGACATTCATGTTTAGATTATTTTGACCCGGGTATGAACTGAGTCCAATTAAGTAGTTTGTGTAAAATAATCTGTTAAGTTATATTAGTGTCAAAAAGCTTTTGTAAAATACATTTAGACTTTTCTCCATATCTCACACACTTTTGGGACTGAATTCTGTTGATGAACATGAATTTGTACGTCTATTGACGAAACATTGCAGCATGAAAACATTGATCTTTTTTTATCTGAAACTGAAAGTTTATGCAAGTAAAATGGAATTGTTTTCTTTAAAAACTTTTCATTTTAATTTTTACGTTCTTTTGTTAGAAACAAATATGTAGCATAGGTTTCATAAATTTGGGCAGTTTTTTATGAAATTATAAAGTCAAAGAAATTTAATTAAATTCCATTAATTCCAATGAGGTAATAGTGGTAATTCTCATATTCTTATAAGTTTTTTATTTGCATTATTTATTTTTTTTTTTTTTTGAGTAACTCATGTGTAATTTGAAATTTCAAAGAATTTCAACAATTTTCCATTAATAAAAAAGGGATAAACGCAGTTATAACGTGTTAATATTCAAAGCTTGAACGTGAAAATTTTCACATTCGCCAAATAATGTATGGAAGCCCATTTCCGCCACGTAAGAAAAAAAAATCATGCCTTAAAAAGTCAGAATTATGACATACTTAAGTCATAATTACGAGATAAAAAGTCGCAATTATGACTTGCTTAAGTCAAAATTATAAGATAAAAAGTAAAAATTATGACTTGCTTAAGCGCGTTGCGTTTATATTCTGGGCTATATTATGCTGGTCTGTTAATGGTATATGCTTTATTAATAAGGTTTAAGTAAGTCATAATTAATCTTGTAATTATGACTTATGTCATAATTTTGACTTTCTAATGCATACATTTTTTTCTTACGTGGCAGAAATGGGCTTCCATAATAATGAGAGGTTGCTGATTAGATACAATACAGTTTTAGCTGACAAATATTTGAAAGTTATGACTGTTTTATAAAATAACAGATTTTGAATGCAATATGAGGGTTAACAAAATACCGATTGTTCAGCTGATGAAATGTCTTCCCAATAAGTCTATTCTTATAGAATTAAAACTTTATTCGTTCATGGAGCACATCCCACATTACCGCCAAAAAGCTTTCCCCTCCAATTAAGACTGATTTGAAAGCAGCTGTGTGTATTATATTCCATGCAAACAACATCGCAAAAACGTAAACAGAAGTTTTCGATGTTTGCTAAAGATCAGTTTTTAAGGGCTCTGAATTTACTGTGTGCTGCGAGGAGGCGCGTGATCGATCACATGACATTTACGGCTCAGGTGATACATTACAAACAATACTGAAGTACACATACTGCAGAAATAGTAGTGTGCTACTCTGAATATATTCTCAACAGTCACACAAGTCACTCACCCAGCAGGAGTCCAGGTGTGTTTCTCTGGTCAACAACGAATAGCTGCTTGTCTCAATCTGTCCTGCACTGGAGACTGAAGTCATTTAACTAGCAAAAGAGCTGTGAACTCCTCCCTGTGGAGGTCAAACACACGTACAGTACAGTACAGTACAGGAGAACCGTGAGAATCCAGACATCTGTGCTGTTCATCATCCTGCTTTATGACAATGTTTTGGCACCTTTTTTGTTGGCGCTGTTTAAGATTATGGCTGATGTGATCCTATAAACTTTTATTTTATTGTAAATGCATTTTTAAAAATGAGTAACACTTTACAGTAAGGTACAAACTACATTAGCTAACAATGCAAGCATTTATTAATCCAAGTAAATTTCGACATTTACTAATGCATTATTAAAATTAAAAATTGAACCTGAATATATTATTTAAAAGACATGCACTAATAATGAACGGTTGTATTTTATTAACTAACGGTAGCACATGATCCTCACTGCTATTTTTAGATTTAACTAATGTTAATTAACAAGCTCTTATTGTGAAGTGCAATCAAAAAACACAATCATGAAAAGATTACTGCTTTAAAGGTGATTCATGCAATTAATTGTCAAATAGCAGAATGTGTCAACTATTTAAATAATTTGGATTATTATTTTGATTTTCAGGTTTGCAAAGCAACATGAATTAAATAATGGAGATTCAAAGAGGTCAAATAATCTGAGCACAGAATATGGCCCCAAAATAAATAAATAAAAGATTTAGATTTCATGACAGCATCTAGTGGAAGGTTGACCGTTTTTACAAATTATTTTTTATTACTATTTATATTATTCTATGTTTATTTGAATTATTTTTAGATCATTTTTAAATAATATTTGACTATTTTCTTAATAGAAGGAAATTTATTTTAAAGTATGCATCATATTTTAATTATGCATTAAGCAGCATGTTTCATCCAAAGCAGTTGTTGTTATTATATAGTGTCACACCCTTTATTCAATACATGCCACAATCTCTCAAGTCATTAATAAAAATGATCTACTAAACGACTGTAACTTTCACATGGCCTCAATTGCTGAGATTAAATTGAGATTTTCTTCATTTCTATTTTAATTAAAAAAAACACTCAAGATTACGTTGCGAAAACTGTTTATTAAATGTGTATAAAAAGCAATATATAACATTAATTAACACAGCCCCCAATTCATTTGCTCTGCTGCTGCTATTATTTTACAACAAATGAGAGTAGCTTGACTTCATAAGCTGTTCCTCACGTTACTGATGAGCTCAGACAAAACCAGAGCTGAAGACTTCTGTTCTGGATTCAAAATCATGCGGAAAAAGTCTTTCCATAAAGGCTCGACGCGAACGCTGAAAAAAAACAAAACAAGAGCAGCTTGTCTCACATTCATTTGATCAAATATTTTCAAGTTAAACTCACAAAAATGCCACATTTCACCCCAAAAATCACCTGAAATTTTGAAATAATAATAATAATATTCATGCAAAAGATACATTTATAATATCTATTACTGTTGTTTTTATTTGAGAAATTATTTAAAAAACATTTTATATATAAAAAAAAAAAATTCATTAAAAAAAAAAAAAAAGGATTATTTTCAAGACAAATCAAACACATTTGTCCCAAAATCCACATTACTAATATTACATAAACGTGACAATTTGCATAAACTAGATTGAAAATATATTAAAAAATAATTCCAAATATTAATATGATTAAAATGATACTGGTAAATATATAATGCTAAATAAATGTGCATAAATCGATACAGCAACAAATATTATAAAAGGTGTGCACATACATATTTGTATTATTACAATGATCACACTAAAAGTGCTTTATTCTCATGAAAGTTACTTGTCAAACCTTTGAAAAATATATCTAATTGTCTGAATGTTTTCTTTTGATTCGGGGGTAAAACATGGCTTGAATATGTTTTTCTGTACAATGATAACAGCTGCTGTTGGTACCTGTGCTGAGATCCAGATCCTTCATCTAAACTCCAGGCCGAGTTTTCCTGCTTCACTTTCATCGGGCGATTAAACCGCAGCATGTGCACGACTTCTGCAACGCTGATCAGATCGACCTGTCACAAGAGAGCAGAAACACCACGGAAATTAAAGGGATAGTTCACCCAAAAATGAAAATGTGATGTTTATCTGCTTACCCCCAGGGCATCCAAGATGTAGGTGACTTTGTTTCTTCAGTAGAACACAAACGAAGATTTTTAACTCCAACCGTTGCAGTCTGTCAGTCATATAATGCATGGCAATGGCATGGCGCGCGCTCAAAGACAGTTGGACATAGTGGTGTATTAGAGGTAAAATATGATATAAATACTGTTCGGTTTCTGGCACAAACCGATCGTTTCGTGTCTTAGGACATCAATGTGTCGTCACGAGCCGCAGGGTTTAATTTGGATTTGTCTGTGCATGTTTTTTTTACTCTCATAGATTTTGTTACCATTGCCATGCATTATACGACTGATAGACTGTATCGGTTGTAGTTAAAAATCATCATTTGTGTTCTACTGAAGAAACAAAGTCACCTACATCTTGGATGCCCTGGGGGTAAGCAGATAAACATCACATTTTCATTTTTGGGGGAACTATCCCTTTAAGGGCAAAAATGACCACTTTTTACACATTTGGTTATTCTCTAAAGATGATTCACTACTGCATTTTAAATTCACCAGTGAGGCAGGGTTCACAATGCATTTAAATGATTTAATGTGACATTTTACAGTGAAACGGAATATTCAGCATGAAATAATGCAGAAAAAACCGCAGCAGACTGAATATAAAAATAAAGCATTAAAAATGAAATGAAAATAGCAAAAAATAAAATGCAAGTAAATAAAAGCAAAACAAAAAATAAAGATTAATAAAAAATTAAACACAATAAATAAATACAAATTTAAATGTGTAAAAATGAAAATAAATAAATAAATATACACACATAATATATAAAAATAATTTACATTTATACAAATATTAATAAATGCCAAATATAAATATTTAAGTGTAATAAAAAATATATAAAAAGTAAAAGAAATAAAAATTTATACAAATTTAGTAAATACAAATTGAATAAATAAAAATACATAAATAATAAAAATAAAATTATATACATAAAGTTGGTAACACAATATATTTCAATATATATTTACAATATATTTCATTAGTTAACTACTTGACATAACATGAACTAAGAATAAACAATACTTCTACAGCATTTATTAATCTGAGTTCATGTTAATTTCAACATTTACTAATGAATTATTAAAATCTAAATTTGTGCTTGTTAACAGTTAATGCAGTGTGAATTAACATGAACTAACAATGATCAACTAACATTAACAAAGACTAATAAATACGGTAATAAAAGCACTGTTCAGTGTTAATATTCATGTTAGTTAATACATTAACTAACAGTAACTAATGGAACCTTATTGTAAAGTTACCATCAAGTGTTATATATATATATATATATATATATATAAGGGTTTAAGCATAAAAAAAATAAG